AAATATCTCTAGGAATATTATAGCGGTATCAAGAAAAATTAAGCCACTTACAATAACTAACATTTATGCTGGAAATATTACAATTAATTACCTAACTATCGTTAGCAGTAATATTAGTTTTCCAAATAGTGAAAATGTGAAGTCACTTACATATAGAGCTTATGGCCTCTAAAGTTCATAACAGTGAATGAAAATGTTGCAATTTTATTGAAGCGATAATATCATTTTTCAGATGATTATTTTGCAGGAAAATGAGGTTCGCATACACACAAGACTTACAATGTCTAAAATTCATAAGAATAAACAAAAAAATCAATTTCATAACCAATAATTTATAATGTCTAAAATTCTTGATGATAGACAGAAATAATGATTTTAATGAGAAAATGAGATCACTTAGACATAACATTTACAGTGTCTAAAATTCATAATAATAGACAGAAATAATCAATTTTATTTCTAATAACTCACAGTGTCTAAAATTCTTAACAATAGACAGAAAAATAACAAATTTATTTCTAACAATTTACAGTGTTTAAAATTCATAGTAATAGATAGAAATAATAAGCTTATTTCTAATAATTTCCAGTATGAAATTCCTAACAATAGATGGAAAAATCATACTTTTATTAAAATAAGAAGTACAAATTTTCAAATAACTATTTTACAGAAAAACAAAGCCATTTGCACTCAACACTTACAATATCTAAAACTTTATACTGATAAACAGAAATAATATTGATAGACATAAATACCAATTTTTAAATAACTATTTTATAGGAAAATGAGAAGCAACAAAAGGATGAGATGAACCAAAGTCTATCAGACTTCTAGTATGTTCCATTTATCAGCCTTTTCTACCCTTTCTTGTCCCAAGCAATGCTGGTGGTACAAATCTCTTGAGTCCTTTAATCATTCCACCATCTATATGATTTGGGGCAGGGACAGCGGCGACCGGTATACAATCGTTCATGACTTGAGTTATGGCCTCGAGCGTCCTAAAAAAAAATTCCTCAAAAACTTTAGTGTTCCCATCATTCTTGTTCAAATTGTTACCAAGGGTCTTGACAACTGGATCCGATACACGAACACCTAAATTTCTAATTACTAGTCTATCTTTATACAACCTAAGGGTCCTTCTAAGACTCTAAGCCAATAATCCTATCCTGGTGCTCTGATACCATAACTGACCCCAAGTTCATAACACTAAAATTTTTGAGATGTGACAGTTTATTATTAAGGAACAAAACAAATTCTAATTTTCACCATATATTATATGACAAGAGGTTTTCATTATTCAAGAACATTTTGGATTGTACAAAATCTATTTTACAACTTATAATAACATGAGGGTATATATATATATATATATATATATACAACTTTGACATTACAATAGTTACAATAGTTACAAGAGAAGGAGACGTCCGCCATTACTAGCCTAGGACCAGAAGGGGAAGAGAAAAACTTGGAAAAATATTTGACAGCAGCTGCCTCAATGAGATTGGGATGGTCAACAATCTGGTCCCACACATTGAAGTGGGTAATAGAGTTCTCCCTTCTTCAACAGTTGGCTATCTTGTGGAAGTAAGCTGTATGGGAATCTTTTTGGTATCATAAGTTTCCAGGGAGCTGTGAACTCCATGATTTCAGGAAAGATTTGAGCATTTGAAGCTTTTTCTACAAGATAAAACCGGCCCACCCATACACGAGGGGGGAGAAGGACTCCCATTGGTTACAGACAAGAGAGGGGAAGCCGGGCTCTCAGAGCCAAGACAACTCAAAGCGAAAAGGCTTAGGCCCTCGAGGAAGGGACTGAGTATGAAGTGGGCTTGGGAAGCACCAAAGAGTGGGTGCCAGGGAACTCATGATCCCACTCGAGAGGGGTTAGAAATCTATCTAATTTTGAGAAGCTTGGATTAGCCGAATGGCTAAACCAACGGAACTCCGCTCCTTCCAACAGGATGTCTAGAAGATTGTTATGAGCTAAGAAATCAGAGAACTGTACCATTGAAGGGGCAGTTTTGTCGTGGGAATTACGTTCATGAGACCATCTGGTGATATTAAAATAACCTCCTACGCACCACTAAGAAAACGGGAGGGTCATCAAAGATTGTAACTCTTTCAATACGGCCAATTTCTCGTTGTCTTCTTGTGGCCCATAGATCACAATGCACTTCCAATGGAGGAAATCAGTGATCCTAGCTAGGGTCACTATGACAGAACTTGCCAATATGAGAGGCTAAGGCATGTTGAGATGGGACCCAGATACCGCCAGAAGGTCCTATTGCATCCAGAGCTAACCATTGGTAGGGGAAAACCTAGTTTCCACCAAACCAAGAAGAGAGGGAGAGTGGGGGAAGGGAACCTGGTTTCCTTCACTGAGGTTCAGCAGGCGTGCCTCTTGATCTGCCACAAAGTTGTGTGTAGCCCCGGTGTCTACCGTAGCCTTAAGGTTTTCCATTGATAGACACTTCCACATTCATAAGCTCACGTGCTTGGGGCTTGACTGTCTTCACTTGCCCCTTCAATGAGCAGCCTTAGTGCCCTCATGAGTTTTTCCAGTCTAGCGACTACGACCATAAAGAAAACGGACATAAAGAAAAGGGAAATGCTGGAGATTATGGCCTTGATAAGGGTCACTTTGCAGCCTGGTGAAAGGACTCTCCCTTTCCATGAAGACAGGTGCCACTCGACTTTGTCTATAACCAGGCTCCATAACTGGATTCGATGAAGGCCAATGCAAGATGGAAGGCTAAGATAGGATGACGGCATTGGCTCTACAACACATCCCCATGAGTCAGTGAAGCATTTGACTATGGCTTGGTCAAGGCAGATTCCTGTCATCTTAGTTTTTTCTAAGTTCACCTTAAAGCCCGTAGCCAACTTGAAGCATTGGAGGAAGAGCAATAAACAATTAACTTTTTTAAAAAACGCATCGCAAAAAAGGAGGGTATCATCGACATATTGGAGGTGGAATATAGAGAGACCCGACCTACCCACTTGGAAGCCCTAAATGCGTCCCGTGCTGTACGCACGAGATAGTGAGGCACTAAACACCTTAGCCACTATGGCAAATAGGAACGGTGAAAGGGGGTCCCCTTCGCGGAGCCCACTCAAAGCATGAATGTAACCCTTAGATGTGTCATTAATAAGGTCCAAAAATTGGGGTTTTGAAATACACCCTTGGATCCATCTCCACCATAGAGAGCCAAATGGAATTCTGGACAAAGTCTCATCATCATAAGCTTTTTGATTACCAAGCCTGAGATTTTTGCACTATAGCGGGAATGGATGTACTCGTGTGCTATTAGAGCACCATTGAGAATCTGACGTTCCTTCACAAAGGTCCTTTGGGACGATAAAATCACCTGACCAAGAACACGTTTAAGAGAATTTTGTAGGAAGTATTAATCAGACTAATGAGTTTGAAGTCTTTAAGCTCTTTTGCTCCCTCATTCTTGGGGATCTTAGCAATGAAAGTGGCATTCATCGCCTTATGGATAGTAGCTTGGGAGTGAAATTCAGAAAATAAAGCCACGATATCAGTCTTAAGGTTATCCCAATAGATTTTGAAGAGGGCTATGGGGAAGCTGTCAGAGCTTTAATGGCTTGGAGTACTTTGTATTCCTAAAAAAGGCTTTCCAAAGAGGCCGCACATTCGTGAGAAATAGAAGAGAAGGAGAAGTCCGCCATTACTGGCTTAGAACCAGAAAGGGAAGAGAAAAGCTTGGAAAAATATTCGACAGCCACTGCCTCATGAGATTGGGATTGTCAACAATCTGGTCCCCCACTTTGAAGTGGGTAATAGAGTTCTCCCTTCTTCGACAGTTGGCTATCTTGTGGAAGTAAGTTGTATTTTGGTTTCCAAGCTTGAGCCATTTGACTTTGGCCCGTTGAGCCAATAAATTTCTTCTTTCTTTAGGAGGAACTGGTAATCATATTTGTGGATGGATCGATAATCCAGCTGAAGAGGAGGGAGGTCTAAGTTCTTCAATGGTGTCTCAATGTTGAATAGACCTCAAAAGGGAGTTTTTGGTATCAGAAGTTTCCAGGGAGCTGAGAACTCCATGATTTCAGGGAAACTTTGAGCATTTGATGCTTTTTCTACAAGATAAAACCGGCTCATCCATTCACTAGGGGGGAGAAGGACTCCCATTGGTTACGGACAGGAGAGGAAAAGCTGGGCTCTTAGAGCCAAGACAGCTCAAAGCGAAAAGGCTTAGGCCCTGGAGGAATGGGCAGCATATCTAGCATGATAAGTCTATGATTTGAGGCGGGCTTGGGAAGCACCAGAGAGTGGGTGCTAGGGAACTCATGATCCCACATGAGAGGGGTTAGAAATCTATCTAAATTTGAGAGGCTTGGATTAGCCGAATGACTAGACCAACTGAACTCCGCTCCTTCCAACAAGATGTCTAGAAGACTGTTATGAGACTATCTAGTGATATTAAAATCACCTCCTACACACCACCTAGAAAAAGGGAGGGTGGAATAGATGGCAAAGGATGGGCTTTAATGAGGGCTTGTGCATGAAGGCATATGGTGAACAGGCTGGGTAGGCCTCGTCATCAAAGTTAATTAGGTGAGGAAAAGGTGGCAACAAGGTTGGGACATGGGGGGAGAGAAGAGGAGGAGATGAATTAGTAGGAAAATGGTGAGGAGGACTAATGAGGTTAGGGGAGGGCATACAAAGAGGGGGTGCAGGAGGAAGGAGTTGCAAGCCTAGGATTGCATAGAGAAAGGGAGGAGAGAGAGAGGGGAGGAAATGGTGATAAATGGTTACAAGATCACTTATTATGGAAAATACCACGAGAGACTACAATAAACAGAGAATTCCCAAATTTCACGAACTGAGCTTTCAATTATTAGATATTCCTCCAGCCTAAGGGGATCAACAACATAGAATAACAATATTAAATAGTACCTGTACAGCAAGCAACCAAGTCTCTTGTAGCAAAGCTGAAAATATGCCTGAAATGCTTGAACAGCCAAGCCTCCACAGCTGACGTAACTTATTGTTCTTTTCAACCAACATGGCATTGTGTCAAACATGAGCAAGTGCTGCTAGGGTAAATCCCAGCTCTACCACCTACAAAAAATTACGTAGATTTAAAAATAGAGATAACTGAGAAACCACCTTGTTTAACAAAACAAACAACAAATATCTATAATACAGCTAGCTAAAGGCAAACAAACAGTACATAAAGCCTCATTTTCCATATTCAATGGCTACATATACTTTTGTGGTCCATGTTCAAAATAATGACTAATCTCAAAGTTTCATTTTATATTTTTATTTTTTAGAGATGAGAGTAGATTTTTATTTTTTATTAGGGTTCATTTTTTAAAAATAGGATTAGTAGGGATTTGTTTAGTTATAGATTAATAAAGTCAGTATTTTAGGAAGTATCTTTTTTTAGAAAAGATAAGAGTAAGACTTTAGTTTGTTTTAGTGTCTGTATTTTCTAGGTGGGCTTTTATTTAGGAAAGTTAGAGTATTTCTTTTGAGTCTTCTTTTGAAACAAAAAGGTAAGTACAATGGAGTTAGCTTGGGAGGAAGGTTATCTTTTAGTTCGTTTAGGAAAGTTTATCTCTTGTATTAGTTTGGGGGGACAAGGTGGTTATCATTAGTTTTTAGGAAATATATTTTGTTTTCTAATTTAAAGGAAGTGTTATCTTTTTGTGCTTGGTTGAAACTAGAGAAAATAATGAATCCCGTAGGTGGAAAGGATGAAGTAGGAAGTTGTAGTAATCTTTTAGGAAGTTGGATGGAAGAATATGGAAAGAATCTAGAGATGAATTTATTTTGGTTAGTTATCACTTTCAGTTTTTAGTAGGGAGATATATTAGGGGTTATCTTTTGAAAGTCACGTGAGAAGGTGATTTAAATGTATAAAAGGAAGCACGCATCATGTAAAAGGAAATTGAATTTTGATTAATAAAGAAAGAGTTTTCTTGGAGAGAGAGAGGGGCCCCATTGTGGGTGTGTTTTCTTCTCTTGTGCTTATGAGCCCATGTTGGGATAGTCGTATCCGCGTTTTATTCTTTTTTCTTGTAATTTCGTTCAAGGTTTTTATCTCTCTTAAACACTAGTGTGCTATAGTAATATGGGATGTTTTTTATCAAAAAACAAACCTTCCTCCAAAACAAACACGCCCTAAGGGTAACATATAGGTGGAGAGAGAGAGATAGAGAGAAAGTGAGAAAGAGAGAGAGATTTATCACTCTATTTGATTAATGGTGGATAGGGAAAAGGGAGTAGATGTACAACGTACTCTAGTGAGAATAAGAATCTTTTTGGCTTCGAGAATGGTGTTGGGGTCGTGGTGGTAGCATGACTTGTGCCCCAGTTAAGGTCTAAGCTTACATTCTCATCGAACGCATTAAAAAACGGGTAAGGGCTCGTCATCCCCACTGAATTACCCAAAAAAAGAAAAAGAAAAAAAGAATCTTTTTCACTTTAATATTTACTTTTTAGATATTTAAATAGGTTATTATTTTTGATAATTTTATATTAATAAATTTTGTTCTAATTTTTATTGTGTTTTCTCTTTTCACTTTCTAACTCGGCTCAGCTTATATCGGTCAATTTCGTCTAAATTTGGCTCGGATTGGCTCGTCTAAGTTAAAATACTCTTTAACTGAACTAGTATTAGCCGAGCTGAACTGAGTTGAGCCATTAAAAGCCGAGCCGAGCCGAGCCGAGCCGAGCCGAGCTAAGGGATAATTTCTAAAATATCAAAATTAAAAAAAGGGTCCATAAAAAAATCACAAACGCATTAAATTCAAAAATGTATTTCGGACTTTTCTAATTGGGTTATAAAAAGGGAGAGAAGCTTGAATTTTACTGCAATTGCATGGGAAGAGCTAAGTTGCAAACATGCCTAAAGTAGTTCCATGCCTTTGTTCTAGTTTGCTGGGTTTTCAAGTTCAAGGATCAACATATTGAAGCCCTGCCCCTCTCTAGAAATCCATGCCTCTAACTACGACAATAACAATGATAAGCAAGCCTTGAGAGAGAGAGAGAGGAGCATACCTCTCAAAGTAATGCATGAGAGAGAGAGAGACGAGCGTACCTCTCAAAGTAATACATGTGATGTGATGAGATAGAAAGAGGAGCGAACCTCTCGAACCACGTAATGATAAGAGGACCTTCACCCTCTCCTTAACAAAACCCTAAAAAGGGTAGGGTTTAGGATTTAAGGTATTACGGTTTAGGGTTTAGGATTTAAGGTATTACGATTCAGGGTTAGGGTTTAGGGTTTAGGGTTTAGGATTTAAGGTATTAGGGTTTAGGGTTTAGGGACTAATGTGATCCCCACTAGAGATAGAGTAAAAAACTTTGGCGGAATTATGTCCTCTACTTCTTCAACATGAAGCTATGAACCCCTATAAAAGGATGGGAAAACAATAAGGTGTGAATTCTTATGATGTTTTGCTTGCCAACAAAAGTATTCAGCTCCTTGAAATTGTTTTTGTGGAGGTAGAGGCAGAAGAAGAAATCAGAGAGGATGTGTTGGATGTGGTAGAGGTGGACTTTATGGAAATACTACTAGGTGCAGCATCCTACATCCACCTAACCATAATAGCATTAGGAGTTCCAATCAGGGGATTTTTGATATAGTGTGTTAGATCTGTGGAAGGTGTAATAATAGAAATCATGTAGATACCCAAGACCATAATATGGGAGAAACCAGCATGTTGCTCTAAATATTTTTGTGGAGAATCTCGCCATTACATCTCCTTCTGAAGCTGCATCGATTGTTGATAGTGGTACAGCCAACCATTTGACAAGAAATCCAAGTATATTCTCCTCCCTTGTCCCTTACTCCGATAGTGGGTCTATTTTAAATGGATATGGGTCCTCTCACCATATCACACATGTTGGGAATGTTTAGTATTCAGTCATTTAATAGGCCTATCAATTTCCAAAATGTTTTCCTCGTCCATAATTTCAAAGGTAATCTTATTTCTATGTCACAACTAACTAGAGAAAATCATGTCTTCTTTGTATTTACTCGTGATTGTGTTTTATTGAACAACCAACTATCGTGGATCACATTTGAGCGGTTCACAATGTGGGGGGTTCAACATAGTTGATGAAGAGTCAAAGAAATTCTAAACTCTGGTCGTGTCTTGTCAAGCCAATAAAGATGCCAATGAATGGCATCATAGATTAGGTCATTGTAGTATGGAATCTCTAAATAAGTCGTGTAAACAAGGGCTCATATCCTCTGATATTGATCTTTATGAGTTTATTTGTCATGGTTGTCTAGTGGTATTGTTTTTAATACTAAAAGAGCTTCTTTGCTGTTTGAGTTAGTGGATTCTGATATATGGGATCAAGCGCAAACTGCATCTCCTTCTAAATCCCTCTCATATGTGATATTTTTTTATGACTTCTTCATATTTACAAGGTTCTTTCATTTCAAGTTGTTTGTTGAAAAGCACTTTTGTAGGCAACTTTTGTACTTTCATAGTGACAAGGATAGAGCAACAAGTTTCCTATCCTTGGACAATGGGTAGAGCTACAAGTTTCCTATCCTTATACTGTATAACAAAATGAAATGGAGGAAAGGGAACATAGACATAAAAATGAACTTGGATTATCCCTTATGTTTTCCACTCAAGTTCTAAAGTTGTTATGGACTGAAGCTGTCCACACAGCCATATTCTTGATAAATAGATTTCTAATTGATGTACCGAACAGAAAAACTCCATATCACACACTGCTTGGAAGAACTCCTTAGTATTCTATCTTGAGAAGTTTTGAATGTTGATGTTATGTCCATTGATAGTAGCCTAAGGTATAACTTGATCCTAAAGCAGTGTCATAGTCTTAACAATTTCATTAATAAAAGATACCTAAATTTAAGAATATACAATATGTCGGAGAGAGAGAGCAATAAGTTTGAGAGAGAGATGTTTAATGTATTTTCATATGTGAGAGAGAGACTAGCCCGTTATCTCTATACGTGAGAGAGCGACTAGCCCGTTATCTTTGTATGTGATATAACGAGTGGCCAGTTATCTTTGTATATTGGCATGAGTGTGTACAGTCGTGAGAGAGAGAGATGTCCAATGTTCTATTTGTGTGTGGAAGTGAGAGAGAGAGAGAGGCTTAATGTGTCTACGAGAAAAAAAAGACACAAAAATGACAATTGGTATTACAAAATTAGTAGAAAAAATGACAAAAATCTCCCTCATTTCTTCATCAAAAATCACAAAATGAGCAGAGTTTTTTTGTAAAAGTACTGTATCAAAATTAGTATAAAAATTAGTATCCAAAAGAATATCAATAAACACTCGTCTAAGAAATGACGTCTCAATATTCACATCCTTTATTTTTATTTATTTTATTTTTTTCAAGGGGTGGCACTAGGTGGCGCGCAGATCCACCTAGGAGCCTGCCTTAGGCATGCCCGTCCAAACCTCACCGCTTAGGCTACCCGTGAGCACGAATAGCAAGTTCCAATATAATCCAGGCATGGAGCACTAGAAGGCAATAAAAAACGTTATGCAATATGTGAATAAAACTAGTAATCTTCCATTCACTTATGTAAGAGGCTTAAACATATAGATACAAGGATATTCAAATGTGGACTATCAAGGTGATCCAAATGAGATGAAGGCCACATCCAATTATATCTTCACACTTGCCAATGCAACTGTTTCCTGGTGCACAAAGAAACCGGACATCGTTGCAATCTCGACTACGAAGTCACAATATGGCTTGTTGTCTCGCAGCAAAAGAAGCGATCTCATTGTAGTTCTTGAATCAGCTTAGATTTGATGCAATGAAGTGCCCATGTGTAAGGATCTTTTGCGACAACTTGGTATGATTTGTGCGGCCAAAGAGTCGTATTTTCACAAGAAATCCAGGCAACTTTAGGCAGATTATTACCACATTGGCAACGAGATCCGAAAAACAAAGATTGAGGTTGCTTATATCCCTACAAAGGCTATGTTAGCATATACTTTGATAAAAGGATCGGTAGCCAATGTTTTTGCCAAACAATGTACATGGGATGGGCTTCAGAGAGTGAGAAGAAGTGATTGTAGTACCTTCAAAGGGCAAGTGGGAGATGT